TTTATCACAAAAGCTGCTGATGCACACTGCTTTAGATGGTCAGAAGTCTGATTCATTAATGAAAAATCCTGCAGGAAAAAGGAAAAGTTGCGATTCCACCACTGTAAACAGCTGCCCACACTGTGAAGCAAACCAAAAAAGAAAGATGTCTCACCATAGACTTGACTGTGGCAAATGCTTAGTTACTTGAAATTCCAGATGATATGTCTCTGGTTAAGCCTATCAGTCAAGCTTATGTGGATGAAATGCATTCGTATACTCATGCTTGTCTGGTGGGAGGAGCTTAGAACCGACAGGGAAAAGGGCTGTATTTTCAAATTCTTCTTTTTTTTTTTTTCTTTTGCCCAGATTTCTGCCTACCTCAGCTTTAAATATTCCACTTCCACGACACTTACGGATTCATGACAGACTGACTGAAAAACGAATGGCCAAAAATCCCACTTTTTTTTTTCTTTTTGTTCTCTGATATTTGGCCAAGCTCCCAATCCACCAGATCCAGCAGTTCTCATAAATCAAGCAGCAGCATCATTTTGTTTGGCTCTCTGTACTGGGTAAATGCCCACTTCTTTCCCAGCCTCTATCACAGTTTGTAAATCTTTTGTTCTAATTTTTTTATTTTTTGCTCTACAAAGTCTCCAAGCTGTGGTAAATCTAATGACATTATCATGGGTCATGGGTCATTTTTCTCCCGCTAGATCCGAGACATTACAGAGCAGTGCTGTTGAGCAAACTGAAGGTTATATGTAAGAAAATGTTTCTTTGGATTGGAAGAACTTCCATTGAACTGCATGAAACTCGCTCTACAGATTTCTGCCTTGGTTGGTTTTATGTCAAGGTCACAGAGGCCATATTGATTATCCAAACATTAAAGCTCTTGGTTCTCACAGTCATAAATGCTATTGGGAATGACTGGTTGCCATGTCGCTTGAATTTTAAAAGACATATTGAAGTTCCTAAGCGTGAACTGATTAACTGCTATGAATATTTAATGTTTACCAGCCACAATAGCATAGCTGGTACTGTTTTCACCTTGTGGATGGCTCTGTGCTGGGCTCGTGTTTCCAGAATGTGATCCTGGAGACATCCTTTGTAGTGGGAAATAGTGTCAGCAGTTCTGAATACTTTGGCGTACTTACGTTTATCTGGCAGGTTTTTCTATTCAACAACATAAGCACCATGCAAGACACAAAACTCTGAAAGGTCTGTATTTGAGATGAAAATGAAGGCCGAGTCTGACGACGACGGTTGTGGTCTGATCCACTGAGATGCTGCGGTAAGAACTATTGAGTGCTCAAGGTTAGAATGTCCGCTTGTTGATGGACGTTGCAGCCGGTGTGATAGAATTACGTTGAACAAAAACTTTTTAATCACACAAACCACAGGAACTTTGAATATTACAAGAATGTCAAGCTACCTCATATCAAAATTGGATTACCAAATGTACTTTTTTAAAATAAAAAAATACATTTTCATGAGTGGGGACTTGTACTAAGTCCTTGGGTGAACAGGGAACCCTGAAGTGGACTTCAGAGAGTAGAGCATGAAGGTCACACAGGTCAGCGGAAACTAAATATAAAAAGAGCCTTTTTTAATGGAACTATATGACAGTTTTTGAAATCCGCTTATTTCCCATCAACTAAAGGTTGGATTAGAAACTCTATACCACTCTCAGACCTGTTTGTGAAATACGGAGGGAGAGCCAGGCAACTTTTAGCTTAGCATAGCATGAAGCTAAACCAAAGTGAAAGAACATCAAGTTCTGTGCACAGTAAAGAAAACAGAAGGGTCACTGTACTGGACAAGACATGAATTTGTTGCAGTGGAATAGAGCCGGGCTTCCCCTGTTTAATGCCTTTATGCTAAGCTAAGCTAAGCTAAGCTGTCCCCTGGCTAATATTTGTTAGGCAGACATACAAGACCAACAGAAAACAAAAGTACTTTGGTTGTCTGACTTTTGAGTTGCATTACTGTATTCACTGCACACTTTGATCAACTTTGATAGCCGTCTAGATAATTACTTGGATGCAGTGTGGAAGAACTTGAGAGCTCTGTGGTAGTAGTTTGTGTTACGATGGCAAATGATAGAAGCTTGTAACCACTGGTTGTGAAGGTAACATAGAGGAATGCATGATGCATAGTGAGGCAGCAACAAGAAATACATATGTGGTTCTAATTTCCATGACAATTCAACAAGAGAATTCTGTTTGAGAACACACAATTTATTCAGATTTAATGTTTTTTGGAGACACTTAGTTTCTTTTTCAGCTCTATTTTACAAGACAGAGTTTGTTGACATGCAGGCTCCACATGTGCACAAGGAATCAGAAGAGAAACACATAGAAGAAAAAGATTTGATTGCCAAAAAGAAATGTGATGCCAACTGCACCATTGATGCATTATCAATTATCATCATGATTCTGGCTGCAACATTTATCTTTAAAATCCAATGAGGTTATAGAAAATGGCCCATGCTGATAGAATCATTTGGTTTCAGCTTGGGTAAGACATTAGGACTCCTTATTTAGCTATTTTCTAATCTATTTCCACTTAGTTGCTCGGCTGCAGCAACTAAGTGGAGACTAGAGGCTTATCCGTGCACAGCTGCCATGCTAGCTTTTACTGCATGTGAGGCGTCTCGGGAATGTAGGTAAATTGTTGTGGCTATAACCACGTTTTAGGTATAGTCTTACTTCCATATTTTGACTTCAGGAGATGTTTTAAATTCAGGTGAAGAAGAACCTTATGTTAAGCCTTATTTCAATGCATATTTTAACATTAGCGCTAATGGAAGTGAACTAGTGCTCTGTTTATGAAATGTGAAACTGCAATAAAAATATTTAGTCTCTTCAAATCAATGAAGACAATTGCAATATGAATATCGGTCATAATAATGATCATTTTCCATTCTTAGTTTTCTCGAAATATTTCGGCTACAGAAAACATGATGCTGACCAAAAACAGGCACTTTGTTGGCAGTTTCTTTTGCTTATTGTCACTACACAAGGGATTTTAAAAAAAAAAAATTGCCATTTAGATCAGCTTAACAAAGCTCCGTATGATGTGCAAAGCAACATCTACACGCCAGCAACTATTTTGGATGCCTTTACCACTGCTATTACACAGGTTCCAATTGGTTCGCACAGCCAATTTGAAGCTTTTTAAAAAATAGATTTCCATTTTGTATGCAGATGCACTCCCCTCTAAAACCACCCCAATCATTCTAGAATGATCATTTTATTTTCTAAATAGAGTTACTCGAGCCATCTGGTGAATATTCCTGTATTTTTTTTTTTGGTGTCACAAAACATTGAAAAGCAAAAAATAAATATTGCAGTGTCGTTTTTTTTTAACTTAAAAGTTTGCAAAGTTTAAAAAAAGGTGCTTGAAAACAGCTACTTTCTAATTGATTTTTATTAACCTAAGGGTTGAAAGAAACTTTACTTTTACTCAACCTCTTGCATTGGAGGTTTTCTTTTTATACAATCTTTGGGGTTTGCTTCAAATTTCCATTCATAATTTTTTTCCTTTTTTTTTTATTTCGCTGCTCTTTTCTCACCCGTTTGCTCTTTAAGCCGCAGTTTATTCCGCGGCTCCATCTGAGACCTGCTCTTCACTTCATACCTAAAAAAGCTGCGCAGCACCTTCACACACACTCTCGTGCTGCTGCCTCCTGCCTCCCTCTGCTCCTTTGTGGTTTTCGGAGGCCGTGTTGTAAGTTCAGCAGACAATGTGAGCAGTCATCTCTTTAGATGGGCCCTGGGCACAGACAGGTGGGCACAGAACGGCTGAACCCAATCAACCTATCGATCTCTGCTGGGTTACTTGGGCAAGGATGGCCTGGTGCACATCCTCTGCTCCAGGCGAAAGCCTCCCCCCCCCCCCCCCCCCTTCCTCCCCCCCCCCCCCCCCCCCCGTCCTCCCAACCCACCCTTACTCCACCCTCCCCATCTTCCGTCTTACTTTACACCGGTTGCCAGGTTGCCATGGAGACCAGCGGTCCCATTTCTCCTTTCTAAGTGCTTCTTTCAGTCAAGCTAGGGTGCTCTCCGTCTCTCTTTCCTCGCAATTTTATATCTCTGTCGATCTCTGTCACTCCGGCTTGCCTGTCTTTTTGTCTCTCGCTCGCTCCCACTTAAGCTGGCGCATGCACGCAGATTGCTTGTTACACCGACTTAGCATACGCTCAGCTAATCTGGAGACGTTCACGACTTTCAGCAACTTCTTCGACGCTCGCTTATGCGTCATCAGAAACCTGTGCTTGTTACACGGTAATATGCAGTCTTTCCAGCGATTGTGTGGGATGAATTCGACATAGATGGGACATGTTAAAGACACACTGTAAATAGATATAAAGCCTCCTGAGTGTGAGTGGTGCTTCTGAAATGTATGGGAGATGTTTAATTACAGTCTCATTGTAATAACAAAGTTATAACCAAGTAATAACCAAGTGTAATAACCAAGTTATTACAATGAGACTCTGAAGATGTTTAATTACAGTCTCATTGTAATAACCAAGTTATTACAGTGCATATAAACCTCAATCACTCGCTTGCAAATTTGATCAAATCACCTCATTCCTTCACTTTTTTATTCTTTATTTTATCACTTTCACATTAACAAAGCTCTCGTTTCAAGTCCTGGTGTTTTAAAAAAGGTACGTAGTCGCTGTAAATGGAGTATTTTTATGCTCTTTCATCCATTTGTCAACTTTCTAATGTTGAAATTATATGTTGGGAAAAAAATCATCCCGCATTAAAACTTTATAGATTTTAGTGGTACACGGTGAGACAGATTGATTTACCTTCCCCCCTTATCCATTTCATCAAATCTATCGCAATCACACGTACACGCTTAGCGCCCCCCAAAACTTCTCCAAATACTGAAAACCTCCCCCGTCGTAACCCCGCCAAGCGATACTGTGCTGTTTAATTGCTCTCTCAAATCAAATCAATAACGGTGAGGTATGTGTCGTTGTGTGCCACGAAAATCAATTGTTGCAGCTTCACGGCCGACTCGGAACGGGAGAAGGAGGAGTGGATTGAAGCGGTCCAGGAATCGATCGCCGAGACACTCTACGACTATGAAGTGGCGGAGAAGATCTGGTTCAACGAGGCCAACCGGAGCTGCGCCGACTGCCGGACCCCGCAGCCGGAGTGGGCGTCGGTCAATCTGGGCGTGGTCATCTGTAAGAAATGTGCAGGTAAGGGAAGCCACTCTTTGCTTCTTTCTCAGGTGGAGACGCTGATACGTACAGTATACCCGGTTCGTGAAAGCAAACCCGACTCGGCGCAGCTTTGTGCGAATGGAATCCATCAGCAAGCATGCTTCATTTGATAATTGCTAAAGCGGTGGTTCCTCACGGAGCTGGTGTAAGATAAATTTGAGGGGTAGCTAGTTCTGATGCTGCTTTTTTTTGTTTGGGATTTATTTATTTAATTTTTTTGTTTCTAAGGGTCTTGGAAGCTTTATTCTTAAAGGTCCCATTATGTGCTGCTTTTCAGCAAATTAATCTCACATGTCTCCGGAGTGTGTCTTTCCATTTTTTTTCAGCTCCAGATACTGCAAAGATTTTTAACATTCCTGTTCGGTTTCAGTGCCCGAAGCTCTGGAAACCACTGAGCCGCTGCTGTCCCGCACAATTTTGCCACTTCGTACTGGTTCTGTTGTCAGAAAACAGATCCTGCGAATGAGGAATCCCATTCAGATTTAAACGCGATAAATATGAGGGCAGGAGAAAAACAAAAAGATCTCAACACGGGCTGAGCTGCAGTGAAGCACAACTGGCAAGATTAAAACACAATCAGTGGTTATTGATTTCAAATCAGTAATGAATTTCAACTATCTCCAAATGTCCTTCAGTAATACAATTTCTACAAAGCCTTGACCTGTAGGCATAGCATCAGAGCTAATGTTAGCCACATTAGCTGCACAAACAACCGTTATAGTAGCCATCAGAAATAAAAGTAATCCACTCCATCTTTAGATTCCTTCGATGCTGGGAGTGCACGACAACTATCGCGTTCACTCTTGCCGCCAACCTTCAGAGCGCTTTGCACACTGGATGAGGCATTTCAGAGTTGGCAGAAGCAGCTCTGGAGCGTAAACCGGCGGACTTTGAGGCAGCTGCTCATTCTGAACGTCTCACCTGGGAAGCAGCTGGTAGCGAGTGGGCTCGGTGTTAAGTTTCAGACCATCTATTTGCGAGGCGGCTTCATGTACTCAGAGCTTTCATGTTACACCTCTAAGCTTGCGAGACAATCAAAACATAAAACAGGTTTCTCGTCATATGGAAATGACTTTCCCGCTGGCCTTCTGTGTACTAACCGACGGACTCCTGAGGTTCAAATAGCGACTTGTGAGATGTAATTATTGAAAGTGCACCAGCTTAACCGTGTTGTTTTGTCCATAACCAGTACCAGATCATACATTTAGTTACAACGAGGTTGGAAATTTCCTTACAAAATGACATGAAATCATCAGAATGATAATAATTATGTATAAAAAAGAAAGTTGTGTTTAAACTGTCTTAAACTTATATGCAATCAGTACAGGGGAGTTAAGTTTTACCATCACATGCTGCACAGGAAGCGAGTTATCACATCACACATGAATACGACTCTTCTGTTTCTGAAGTCGTGCCGTGTGAAAAGTTAGCAACAAAGCCGTGCTGAATTAAACAAGCCATGCATGTTAGCACTCGGCTCCTCTCTCTGTACGTGTGGTCGGAGGTTTGCGCCTGTGTGAGTATGTACTCTGACCCAGAGGCTCTTTTAGAATAAGATCTCAGGTGATAAGCCACTTATGGGAGTTGCTGTCTGGCCTCTGGACTCTCTAATCTATTTGGCAATACTGGATGGCTCAGATGAAATGACAACAAAGATTAAGCCACAGGCGAGAACTTGGGGGATCCCGAACTGCTTCTTGACCCGCTAAACATGATTAGAGAAGCGCAGCAGCTATGCTTGTTGTGGAGGGATATCTGGTGGTCGGTGTGTGAGGTGTTTTCTTTCTTTTTTTTTGCGTGCTCTTATAAACTCCCTTTTCCACCTACACAGATCTGCCATGCAATTTAATGCAACGCCTCACCTCACCTCTGCAAGGACCATGTAATTGGTACGCATCAGATCTCCAACATCTCTTTTCAAACACCCTTAAATGATTTCAGGGGTGTTTAATATTACATTTTGTCGACACGCTGGGAGCGAGAAGGTGAATATTTGCAATGAGAAAGCCGTCCTCGCACTGTGCTCTCCTTAAATTAGACCGGGGTCCATTTGGAATATCAATGACTGCTCATGCTTTTAATTAGCGCTCTTACGCTTTATTGTCACGGACAATAAAGAGAAACGCTGAACAAGAGAAAGAGGAAAGAAGTAATGAGAAGACTAATGGTAAAATGATCCCAGATTGGCTTTTCTCTTTTTGTGCCAAGATAGAATAAATTTTAATAATGTGTAGCCGCCCGTTGGACTGTTTCGCGCTGCAATGTTTTGTCTTTGTTTGTGTCGACTAAAGGAATTGTTCAGGTTTATTATTTTTAGCGTGAAGTAAATAATAATCAGAGTTTATTAAAATGTTCTCCTATATAAAAAATAGAGTGTATCTGATCGGAGACATAATAACACAAGAATGTGGAGGCAGCAGAAACATGCATATACAACAAAATAACCCTTTTTTTACTTGTTAAATTCAGTTCTAATTACTTTTATTTAAATATTTAATTATGAAATGGTAAACTAACACACTAAAAGTACTTTATTTTATGAGTTTTATAGGTATGTTTGGTAATAAAATAGTAAAAACCACTTCCTGACCTGAGAAGCCTTAAACTTGCAATAAGATATAAATGCAACACTGGCACATTAATAAATTATAAATGTGATATTTCTCACATATGAGCAAGCAGTGGCTTTTTTGCACATGTAGCATAATTAGCATGAAGTTTGATTCCCATTTCTAGACAGATGTAATGACATAAAAATTACAATAAATGTAAATTTGCACAATGTTTCATAGTAAGGGCATTTTCTGAGATTTTTTGCAAATCTGGCAACTAAATCGTTACCAAACAATTTCTTCACCAATATGTTTGTAAAGGTGTAATAACATGCCTTAAAATGTTGAAGTTCAATTCCTGTGGGAAACCTTTAAAAAAAACCTGCTCAAGTTAGGGTACCGATAACCGATAGACGAAAAATCGTTTTTTAAAAATCTGGCCTTAAGTAACTTATGAGGGTCAAATCAGGGTTTTTTCATGATTCTGAGTTGATTGTTAGCATTTATATTTCACCACAAACACTTCTTTGTTGAAAAAGGCCACACTGACTTTTACATTTATATTGCACAGTAGCTTTTATTTCACATATAACACTCAGAGTTATTTCTCATTCAGTGTCAGAAGCTTCAAGAGTCATTGTTTATGTCTTCTTCAGACTCAACAACATCATGACTGCAGTTTTTGCATGTGATGCCTTTACAGATTCCACAGGCCCAGATGCTCGTGACCCTATTCTTCTTGCAGCTGCAAGTTACAATGCTCCATGCACACCTAATGTCTATCCATACTCACTGGGCTTCAGAGACATGATCTGTAGAAGGATCCAGTCCTGGGTCTGCAGAGTGAATGCTGTGCAACATGTGCAGAAAACATTTGCAGGGGACATGGATGAGTGCATGGGCATATCCAGCTGGATTAATTCCGTTTTGGTCTTTGGAGGAAAGGTGTCATGTAGAAAGGAATTAAAGTTTTTCATTAATAATGACTAACTCTACAATGAAAATGGGCATTCATATGTTATTGTTATTAAGAAATGATCACATCAATTGTTGTTTTCATGATTTTTTTTTTTTTAAAGGATTGGTGTTAGATTTGTGTTTTTTTCCCCTCTTACTAATATCTATGTAATATGGTTTAGTCCCTATACCCACCAACTCATGAGTCTGTCTGCAGCAAACAGCAGGTGAATGACAGCTTTTTTTTTGCTACTGCTGCTGAAATGATGTTAAATGTGCGGGCCATAACCCCCCATCAAATTTGCAGATAGAGGCTAAAACAGTCCACATTTTTAAAAGGAACAACCCAACCGGGTGGTAATTCAACACTGCATGTAGTCATCTGATGTGTTGTTAATACCAAAAAAACTGCATCGTGCAATTTTACCAGTCCAGCCATTTTAAGGAAAATTCTCCCATCTTTGGTTTTTCTTTGACTGTTAACCAAAAGTCCTCTTGTGTGTTTTTTTTTTAGTTTACTTTTCCAATACCTGAATTTGTCCCTCCATCTACACTCTCATTCTTTTTGCCCTTTCTCCCACCATCCAACATAACTACCAGAGGAAATGACATTTCTCCAAAGTCCTTAAAGCTGCTCTCCACACATGTAATTGCAATAAACTTCTTTAAACCAGGATGCAACTTGTAGACATGTCTGTTGGCAACAGTTGCCATGGCGACGCAAAAAAAAAAAAAAAAAATGCAGCGCTCATTGTTCTTGCTCTGTTTCCCTTCTGACTTGTCATTGAGTGAGGGGGTGAAAATGCCACACAAGTACAGAGGGTAGGGAAAGTGCTCCATGAATTGTCGCCGAGTCACTGGGAAAGTTTTTAATTGGGGGCGAAATCCTCGGTGGGTTGAGCAATTTTTTTGTGAACGCTGCCGTGATGGGAGTGCCCTTTTGTGTGTTGTTTTGATTCGGCAGGAACGATGAAGACATTTACAACAGGCTATTTATATGGGGAGATCTCACTGTGTACCCGGTGGCACATGCGCATGCACACTTTTTTTCAGCTTCATTACCCTTACACAAGTGAAAATGGTCCTGTGGTGTTGTATGGCTCAGTGGATGGAGCATGGCTGTTGCACTGCAGCAAGGCGCCCAGAGGGAAATATTTTCACTCCTTCACGGGCGAAAGTGACAGAATCTTGCTCTTTGGCTTGCATTTTGTCTAGCCAGACATGTGATCTCAAAGGCACTTATTATTCCTGTCGTTTCGATGCGACTTTTGGGATTGGACAAATCAGATTTAAACATAACTCTGGACCGCGCTAATGCATCCACACTTGACACTTTAATGTGTAGTTTTGCTGATAAATATTTAAATGAATCTCGGGGAGAAGGGGATGATTTTTTATTCGTGGTCTCTCAGGGCTAAGCTGAAACATGTTTGGTCAGCTATAAACAAAAAATCTCCTGATAAGCCCAAATGCGTGTTTGTACTGAGCTGATTGAATCGATGGAAAACTCAAATTCATTTGCTCAATTGATCTTTAAGATGTGACGAGTTTGCTAAACTGTATATAAAATAAGAAACTTTGATCAGGCATACACCAAGAACAATAGTTTTTAAAATAATAGGTAATTGTCAGATTTATAGGTAGAAAGATGGATAATTTTTGTTGACGTAATTACTGAATCAAAATCTTCCAATAGCTCCATTCATCCCATTTTAACACACTTCCTTAACAAGGAACAACTGCACAAGTAATAATCCTAAACAAAATATTTAATGAGTGCCACGTTTATTACAACAGATCACACTGCTTACAGAAACATTCAAACATGCAGTTGTTATGTCTGGAAAGGCCCTCAGCCGTTTTCATTCCTATTTAACTAACAAGGGAGACATGGTGTTCCACAGGGTTCAATCGTCGGTCCACTCCCTTTTTCATTATACATGCTTCATTATACAACCACATAATATGTCAACGCACTGGAGTTCATATAGTTTTGACAGGTCAAAACTTTAGTTATTGGTGCTGCTTTAAAAAAACAAACAAACAAAACATTTAAAATGAACTTCAAGGTACAATATGCAAGATTTTGAACATACATGTAGCATAGCAGCTAGCAACTAACATCTGCATGTTAGTGAATGTGAGTCCCTCCCTATGAAACCATTGGCCGTCCCCACACTGGTTGAGCTCTGGAAAAATGAAAGTGTTCAGCTGATGCCTTAAAATCCAAAACGAGTTGAATTGCGTTTCCGTTATTAATGTAATATATAGTAAATGGTCTGCACTTATATCGCACCTTTCTACCTTCGCGGCACTCAAAGCGCTTTACAATGTTTCTCATTCACCCATTCACACACACATTCATACACCGATGGCGACAGAGCTGCCATGCAAGGTGCTAATCTGCCATTGGGAGCCATTTGGGGTTCAGTGTCTTGCCCAAGGACACTTCGCCGCCAACCTTGCCATCAGTGGATAACCCGCTCTACCACCTGAGCCACAGCCGCCCATATGTATACTTTACTGCTGTTTTGAATGTCTTTTTTGTCTTTCTTTCTCCACTCATGGTTGTTCTGGTCTTTGTGTCGTGGCTGGATTAGCTATTGACGTGTGCACAACCTTTCTAGTTGTAAATGAAAGCAACTGGAGGCAGAAGGTGTGGCCGACGTACACATTCGCGACGCTCTAAGATGCTGGTGCTTTAGCGACATCCAGCCGCAAGCACAAACCTTTAAAACTTCAAAGCAGCGGAAACGTAGCAAGTAGCATCGGAGCGACGTCAACGCCTTCTGATTACCCATGGAAACAAAAAAAAAAAGAATACCGGTTCAGAGCTGTTGTGACAGGAAGGGTGGCACTGCCCTTTGTACTTAATGCATTCACCAACTGATCACATCAAGCCTGACCACAAAGGAACATGGCTTGGCATATCACATTCAGAATCCAATCTGGGAGCAATTAGACCTGTCAGTTAGTGCGTCCTGGTGTCAGATTCAAAAAGGCACTGCAACTCCTGATGTTTGTGAATAGCTCACAGTTATAATGGGCCAGTGTATTAGTCTTTGTAAAGTTTCTGTATCCAGGTTGTTCATGGTTTTCCACCAATTACGTGTGATTACATGGAGGGGGAAAAAAACCCCTCTTAATTCCAGTTTTATGGTTCGCTCTGCTCATTACAGACGTGATTTAACACCTGTATTCCTGAAATAAGTATTGTAAATAACGACGAGTTACCGAAAATTAAATCCTGGAGAGCTTCTATTTTTTAACACCATGAGTGGAAAGTATTTCAAAGGTTTCTTGCCTCTGTGTTCTCCAGAACTGTGTCAAGATGGCCTTTCACAGCTCATAGCCCCTCATTTTCATTCACAGCTGCTCTACTTGAGAATAGAAGACAGTAATGAGATCATGCCAAATCTAAATCTAAAATTATCCGCCGTTACACACAGGACAATAATTCACATTCACACATACGCCGTGTTTCGCTCTCATGTATTATGCATGTGTGCTCTGTCTTTGGCCATAAGCAACCCCAGAAGCCTCTCGTTCACCCAAATAAACAGGCCGACCAACAAACACAATGAATTACTCATGATTCATTAGCAATTAATGGCCCTCGTTCTCTGCTTTCATTTCCAATTAGGAGAGCTGAGGGGACTAAATATGTCTGTTGTGAGTGAGAGAATGAGCTCGCAGTCATGCTCTGTTTCTCCGTCTTGTAACTGCCTGTTTATTGTTTATTCCATCGCCGGCATTCGTTGTGTCGTTGTGCGCGCCGTGGAGCTGGGCGTGCGCATATGTACACCGGGTTTTTGTTTTTTTTTCTCCATGTGAAGTATTCAGGAATTAAAGCCTGTGCATTTTCGAATATATATTTAAACATTTCAGAAACCAAAAGGGCTGCATGAATTTATGAGCAGATGTCTGTTTACATGTCTGTGAGCTCATGTTGACGACGATGTCTTCCTGTGTGCCAGGACAGCACCGCTCCCTTGGCCCAAGTATTTCTAAAGTGCGGAGTTTGAAGTTGGACAGCAGCATCTGGAGCAATGAACTCGTGGAGGTAAATATGGCACGATCCCCATCATGAAGGTTGTGCGAACTAATCTACCTTGATAATGCTGATGAAGTTCATCATTGTGCAGATTTGACAAAAGTGTTTTGATGTATTATCTTCAGAAAATATCCACCGTGGCCACCTAATTATATTATTTAAATCAAGATGTTCTGTGGTTTGGGGGCTGGCCAGATGTTGCTTTTCAAATCCTAGTAATAGCTCGACAATTAATTCTCCCCTGAACGTCTCCCTTGCATGTGTCTTTTAAACCCCTCAGCTCTTCCTTGAGGTGGGGAACAAGAACGCTAACAGTTTCTGGGCCGCTAATCTTCCCGTGGAGGAGGATCTCTACAGCGGGGCCTCGGCGGAGCAGCGCGCTACATTCATCCGCAGGAAGTACCGGGAGAGGAAGTACAGGAGAGTCCTGGAGGAGATTCACGACCTGGAGCAGCTCAACCAGGTACAGATTTCACGGAGATGCCTGAGCAGAGATATCAACACTATAACTGGTGCTGCAGAAACTGTTTCCCCGGCATGGTGACGCACATGTTTGTGTTCATTCATACATTGAGATCTTCCTTACTGGCCACTAAGCATGAAAACTTTGAGTTAAAAATTGATTTGTTTGATCACATCACACATAGCGCAATGTGTTAGTCTGAATTTTAAACCCTTTAGGCCCACAGCTCTTTTGCTTTTGAGATCCTGCTGCTGTTTGATATTTAATTAACTCATAGGAAAGACTCCTACAAACAGCTGGAAGCAACAAACTGAACTTCAGCTGTCAAATAAACATTCGTCATTGATGAGTATTGTTAGAGAATTACTGTCTTCTCCGCATGTTCGTTTCTAAAGATGAGATCGGATTCAATTCGGTCTCAATCAATCAATTTAATTACACATTGAATATTGCATTACAGAGCTCTGGGTCAAACTCTCCCTGGCATCAGATAAAGCAAGACAACTCCTGTTGCCTCTGACCCTTCTTTTGCTACTAAGTCACGTGATGCCTGTTCAGGTCGTAAAACAACTGATTGGGGCCCATCTTCATCACACAGAATGGTTGCATCCTTATATGGACTTCTTTTCCTCCGTCTGTTGCTTGTCCTGTGAAACCATAAAAGAAACAGACCCAAGCAACTTTTTCAAAAGAAAACATTTCATGACTATGTGCATATATGCAACTTCTTTTATATTTTAAACCTTAAGGACTATACGTCACACATGATACAATATATTTATACACAACAGTATCATTAGTATGAACTGTCAGTTTCTTTCTTCATTGGAGTAAAAATTGTATTTTCATGGACATTTCAGTTAGTTGCAGGGGGGCTGGACCCTATGCCTTGGACAGGTCTCAAGTCTATTGTATAGATGATGGATGGATGGATGGATGGTAGACCAAAGTAAATCATAAAGGTTAAGTCTGTCTGAGATATTTTTGGACCAATATTGGTGCTGAGATGTGGAAAAAGCTTTCACTAAACCATTTAACCGAACTCTCAGAACTATTGCTTGTGCATGTGACGGCATTTCAGACTTCCTCAGTGTTAGCAGTGATGTGGAAGTATTACGAGCTTCAAGCTAGTATAGCTACCATAGCAACCTTGATGGTGAAGTGACCAGGGTGCTCATTCAGACATCAGTCTCACATGTCCAGCTGCTGTAATGGAATGCATGTCTAAACGGCACTCTATTGAGTTCAGACACTCATGACACGTGTGTGGCCCACTTTCCTGCTTTAAATAGTTTCTTGCACTTACAGACAGTACACTAGATTTTGCATTCATTCATTTATTTTTTCCTCATGTTTGAATGAAACTTTCTAACTTGCTTGATCAGTAGCTGTCACGTAAGCAAAAAGCTTTTCCTTTGATTTCTCTTAGTTCGTATTGTGTTTGTATGGCTTTCATGGAATTTCTCAGCTTTCGTGGTGCAGATACAGAAGCACTACAGATGACTCCCTCCTTCGTCCTCAGCATACAGCAAAAACCTTAGCATCAGTGTTTTTGTTGATTTTGTCTTTACGTGACAACTCAAACAAACTGCCTACATCAGTTTGTTGGCTTGTGGCAGGGGTTTGTTTCATTTTGTCTGCCTGTGGTGCATTTGAGATAAAGCATCTCTTAGATTCGTCCAATATAAATGCCGATGTGTCGATACCTGATTGAAGTGTCAGAATATCTGCTGAATGATATATTTTGAAGGCAAACTGTCTCTTGTTGCTCGCTGTGTTGGCTAGCATTGGTATTGTTCAGCAGTTGTCAGTCTATGGCTTTAGTTTTGTAGACTTGTAAAGGTTTATGAATGTGCTGATGTCCTGACCACAGGGGTGGCAGCTACAAAACATGTATCATGTTATTAAATTATGAGGCACTGTTGGAATTTGGATGACCCCCACAAGGTGATTTTAGACATCACATACCAGTATCGCACTGCATCTGATTGGTATCTGTATTGTTCAGATGCACTGGCATTTAGACAATAACATCAGAAGATGGTGTTTTAGCAGCATTGATGGTCTTCTAGCTGAATCATTACACAACAGAGGTGGGTGCACCCTTGTGCAAAATCACTTATATGTCAAATTTGTCTAATCTAATGTATTTTACTTATACAGTCATGACTTGACATTCCGACCCTTAACAATCTGAAACCTTGCTAGCCGACAGGTTTTTAGGAAAAACGAATGGAACCCAAAAAAAAACAGCCTTAACATACCGACAGCCTTGGTTTCCAACGCCGACATGACATTTTATTAAGGATAAAAGCGTATTATCTGACTTAACAATCCAACAGATTTACATACCTTTGATGTCAGCCGAGGGGCCTGTGCACAAGCGCACTGGTCAATTAGGTGGGAAATCCAGTGATGCCTAGTATTATAACAATACGCTGGTTATTATAATAACTATAAACAATAAATATTAACAACAAATTACCCTTCAAACATCAAGCCCTCCTTGTGTCTCGACCTCCGTCTTGACAATCCGATAGCCTTGCTAGCCGACGTAAAAGAACGTTTTACATTTAGATTACCGAGTCACGAATGTGTACAGCAGAAGTTCACCAGACGTCGTACAAATGGCCTCCTCCAATACCTTCATCTGTACCTTCAAGAAAATAATGGTCCATGGTTCACACCTTTAGATAAATCCAGTGTACCTGAAAACCCCCCACATTTTTCTGACCTTTTGACCATCAGTAAATCTGCACTTTAAGCTTAAAGATGCCAAAGGGGAAGTCTTATCGATCTGGAGTATGGGCATGTTGGCACTAAGGCCTTCAGCTTTAGAGTTTATTGCTGCAGCAAAGAAAAAAAAAAAAAAAGGGTCCTTGCCTTTTTGGCTTCCTTTTAAAAATAGAGCCTTAAAAGCACAAAGCGGCGTCGAAGTTTCCGCCTGCCTCAGCGTTTACGTAGATCAGCCCGGTTGTATTGTTTTCCTGCGCGGAAAGAGAGGAATGGAAATGTAAGACGGAAAGAGGGGAATGAGGCGAGAAAGTAAGGAAGAGATACACCAGCTAGCTAAGTGGAAAAGTGGATTAGGATCCACAACAGAAACGCTTGGGTTGGTTTTATTGCGGCTTTGCCGGCTTTTGCGTGCGCGCGTGTGTGTATGTGCGGTTGTGTACACGCGTGTGAACATGTGTGCTCGCTCCACTTGAGATGTGTGAATTTGCTGTTCTAGTGGGAGTTTTTTTTTTTTTTTTTAGCAGGGCGGTGTAGGAGAGGAAGTGTGACAGAGAGTGTGGCTGCCTAAAAGGGTCTGGCCAGTGCAGAAGTGTGTGTGTTGGTGTGCATGAAAGAAATAAAGAAGAAGGCAGGGAGAAGGTGGGAGTGGGTGGTTGTGTTTGCTTTCTTACTGTCTAGTCTGCCTTTTTTTTATAAACGAGCTCAACAGATTTGATAGAGATCGATGTGTAACAGAGGCGTTGTACACACACGTGCTAAAATTACACCCACTCTTCAAAATAATTCAACCTATCTTAAAGTAATAAATCACAAGCAATGCATTAAAAAGAAAAAAAAAAAAGTATTTTTAACATAAACAAGGACGCGCTGAGTCTAATCTCATTGGACACGTTCCAGTTTTGTGTCACATTTGCTTACTGTAACACAAATAATAAAAGCTATATAAAAAAACCTATTCCTTCGGGGATCCGCTGCGGAACAAAGACAATAATGCCGGCAATTTCCTCGTTGACATTCATGCAATTTTGAAATCAGGCGATGGCATTTTAACAGGTTTTATGGGCTCAAGGGGTCACGGGACTCACTCGGCGCACGCGGCAAATCACTATCGTTTAAAGTGTCGTCGCAAGTAATGAAAAAAAAAAAGATTACTGCGTCAATATGCGTCCGTACAGAATCTCTGTGTTTCTGTTAAGCATCTTTTTTTTTTTTTCATTTCACACCCTCTTCATCCCGCTCTCTCTGTTTCTTACTCCCATGTTCCCCATTAGAAGCTCATATCCCAGTGACCTCCACGGAGTCTCCGCAGACCACATGACCTAGAGAGAGTGGGGGGTGTCAGAGGACCTTCTTATATCATTACACACACACACACACACACACACACACACACACACAAACCCTCTTGTGGCTACAGTAATTGCTATGACACGGAAGGTCATTTCCAGAGACGATGCGGAATAAGGCCAGGCTGCATGGGACTGTTTTGCCATAATCTGACCCCATCTTATGTGTAAGAGACAAGAGGAAAAAAAAAGACAAAGAGGGAATAAACTAAAGATGCCTTTCTGGGGAATTAATTTTTCAATTGATGAATCAGGTTTTTTTTTTTTTTTTGCAGAAGCAGACCTCAGAGATAGAAATAAATGGATTTCTGCGCGTACTTAGACGACTTTATCCGAGGCCCGGTGTGTGTAGGTGGGCAGGTTATATTGACAGGTACTTTGTGCGTATATGCACAGCCTCGCCGTGCCTCACTTTCAGACGGATATTGCTTGTTTGTGGCAAATCGATGCAGCCTACTGACTCGGCCCGAGCCTGATGAAAGGAGAGGTTGTTTCGTTGAAATTCCGCTATTTGCCACTCGACTCCTCTGTTGATCCACTTTGTTGCGGGTCATCGTGCATGATGTCACATCCATTGACTGGAGCGATAGAAAGAGACGGACAGACAAAGAAAATATTTTCTTTTGGTCGGACTGTGCTCTTCTAGCCCCTTTTATCTCGTTTCTCTTAGCCGTGTGGCCAGGTAACTCTTCTTAACAAAGCGTGTCTGCATGGCTAGACATGCTGAATGAGTAAGCTTTTTTTCCCTACCGTTATTAAAGGAGTCGTTGGCCATCGTGCGCATATATAAAAGTTTGTTTAATAGGTCCATCATCGAAGTCAGGCACCTTACACCGCAGTACCTCCAATGTCCACTGGATGCTTGGCGCTAGAGAGCACCCACGTCTGTCTGTAAATCAAGGTGAAGGCTCTTGTTAAACAGGCGTTACAGAAGGAGGCAGACAGAAGAAGTGAGACTCACAAGAAGTTAGTATCAACTGTCTTTTTTCTTATCTCCTGGTGACAGTTTTCAAATATCTCCTTCCATTAAAGAGATCTTAAACATTATGCAGCAGTGTTGGAGGTGCGTTTGAGTGACAGGTGTCCCGGCCTATCACAATCTGCTGCGCTGGGGTTTTTCGTTATCTTGTCCCAGGCTTCCTCTCTGGGGGCTCGCCATAGATAGGTAGAATATATTAGACCTAAGGAGTGGAGCTGTTGGGATCATGAGATTTTAGTTGACGATGACTTAAAAATATAATAATATGAGTAACCCCGCCATCCCCACTCTTACTCCAACTGGTCGAGGCAGATGGGCGCCTTACCTGAGCCTGATTTTGTTGGAGGGGGATGGGGTTTGGTTCCTTCCCACTGTTGCTGACCACTTGCTAGAAGGAGTCCAAAGCCAACCGTTGGATTAATTGGATTTCCCATTATGCCACCACATGCTACTTTCACTTCTATTTATTTTATCTCACCTGATCCAGATGAAGTGATTTTAATTGCAGGGCTCGAGACGAACTGGTGCAACCAACTTTCTCATTTGGCCGCACCTCCCTCCTAAAACATATGACTTGCTGAACATTTCCTCATCGATAGACAGTACAATTTACCGATGTTCCCACACTTTGCAGGCTGTGGTAGCTGCTGTTGGTGTCTGTGGTGACTTAAGAAAGAGTTTAAAAAAAGGGCGTCGAGTGATTTTGTACATGTTGTATATGAGCGGAAAAACCACGACTGTTTTGTGTGTCCGTTTTTCACGAGAAGACCACATTTTAGGTGTGAATACCGCCAAAGTTTTAAAAAGACTACTTTGCACCTCTGTGGTTAACACAGCAGCTTCCTGTGCCAGTTACAGCGACGCCAATGCAGCTTACTGATCGTCATGACCTCGCACCGATGCAACCACTTGAAAGTTCAACTCGCACATTCTCAAAAAGAAGGTCGAGCTAAAATCTCTCATCAATTTCTAAAGCTTACAATTGAACCACAGGGAGGTGCAGAAGTCTAGTTTCCTGTCAGACCACTTGAATTGCAATGTGTTGTCAAGTCAATATGGAGGTCTTGCCCTGCGATGCTGAACAATATTGCCGATACAGCTTTAACCCTTTCAACACTAAGTAACTTTGGCTTTAATTCCTAGGAAATATAAAATCAAACTTTATTTATATCGCACTTTTCATACATGGATCAACGCAAAGTGCTTTACGGTGTTAAAAACTGCTGCTGCGCATGGGTAGCGGCAATTACGCTAGCGAATAGCAGCGTTAGCAGCAAAGACGACGGTAGCGAAACTCCATCAGCGCTTGTTGTTAAATATTTTCCCGTTACGGAAACAGCGTATCGACCCAATTTGCAGCAAAATTTTTTCAGGCAGCAGCGTAACGGCTGTTATGACGCTACCGAGAACCTTGTTCACATCGTGTTGAAAGGGTTAAAGGCCTCAAGATGGCTGCCTCAGTACAGCATTATCTTTATTCCCACAAGCCATCTCTCTGATTTTAAATCCCAACCCCTAACCGCTGTATATCACAAACCTGTTTCATCTCAGCGTCCACCTACCTCATTCATACAGGGCATCAATTACCCTGTATTTATTGTGAATAACTGTATTTTTTACTAAGCTTTGAGTCACTTTGGACATGTTTTATTTTCTCTATCTGTACATAGTAGTGGACCATGCAGTGTTATTTTGTGCTTAAGGACTTTAACACCGCCGTTTAACTGCTTCTGTGTGCACACATACTTGACCAGTAAAGCTGATTGTGATTCTGTGTTTGGCGTCCAACTCAATCCGTCATGTCAACGTCAATAAATCCTCATCGAAATGCAGTCGAATGCTTAAGAGGGGGTTCAAATGGTTAAATGTAACGTGGAAGTAGAGATTGAAACGTGACATTTCTGCGAGTTTCATCCAGCTGTTGGAGGTAAATGGAAACAATTATGCAAAATAATTACAGTGAGCTCAAATAATTGCGATCAGGCAACTGTGTAATAACTATAATAGGCCTAACCCCGCGTCCCAGTTAAGGCTACAATTTTACGTCCTTAAAACAGCATGCTAGCAATTTTACACAGAGAAGTCTATTTATTTATCACGATTTCAAAACAGGAGCATGATGTCTTTTGTCAACCTCGAGGAGCTTTTAAAAGTCTTGAGTTACGCTTGAGGCTTCAGATGTTTAGCAAAGCACCTGTGTTATGAAATGAGGGCAAACAGGTTGAAGACAACTTCAAACTGGTGGATCCAGTAGGAAGTAGTGGCAGAAAACTTCATCTCCGCTATGCTGATTGTTGCTTTTAATTCTAAAAGTGTACTTTAAAGGTCGCTGTGCAACATTCAGAACCACTGAACGTTGGCAACATCTCCTCCCTTCACGTTTATTTACAACCACAGAGGTCGCGCCAACAACAAAATCATCCATCCATGAGCGTTAGCGTACGCTAGCATCGTCAAACTGAACGGCCGTAGGATCTATAGTCAAAGAAAGCAGAACAACAGCAGCACCAGAAACTCTTAACACTGACCCGAAATAAACCAAGTTCATACAAATTAGTCAAATGTCATAAATACAATACTTTGTTTTTGAATTCTTCTGTTTTTTTTTGAGGGCATCAGCCGAACACTGGACTGCGCTTTCGCTTGACCGGCTGCCAAAAAACAGAGAACAGAAAAGCTCGGATTACAGCGAACGCAGAGGGAGTGTGACTGACTTTCCCTGCCAAGGAATGAAGTCACACGTTCTCCACTATATCTGAACATAACAGATAGCTGTTTACTGCTACATTCATGCTATATTTATGTGAAAAATCTCGCATGTTGCAGCTTTAATTTGTGTTGTAGTTCTGTCGCTTTAAAACTGGAAGTGTTGCAGGTGGTGATCCAATTTTACTATTTTTATATGTGTAGAATAAATTGATTTGTAAACATATTTGACAAATCATATCTATAAATACCATATATTATGTGCTATTGATGTGTTTTTTATTCGGCATATATGTATTTTTTTTTCTTCTTCCTGCTCTTCTGCTCCCTCCATTGTTTTCCACGTCGTTATCCGCACATTTCTGTTCTTGGAAACTGTTAGCTTCATTATATTTAATATGGCCCATTTGTCCTGTTCTTATTTGCTATATTCCTCTTTTCACAGGGATTTGAGCTTTAATGATTCCCACAGGGAGTATTAAAGTTTGATCATATTTTAACTTCTCTTTGGAGATCAGCGGGCGGAACTCAATTCTAAACTTTATATGGTTTTCTGACGCCGCTTTATAGACTCTTTGTCCTCTATCGGCTTGGCATTCACACAGAGCAACACCAAAACTGCTTCCTGGGAAGTGAGACCGCGCTCACATTTCCAGGGATTTTCACTGCTTCATTGTCCCGAATGCAAAATTGTTAAAGGTATTAATCCAACTATTGAAAGCTACCTAGAAATCCATGCTCCACTTACTCAGTCTTTTATTAAGCTATCACAGCAGGAAATGTGAAGTTGAAAGGTGGGACATTTGTGACCGCTATAAATCAGCTTGAAGAATCACAAACATACCAAAATACTATCCTACACATGCATTATTGAAGGGTTTTTATAAATGCTGGGGAGACCTCGAGGGACCCACGGTGAAGGTAGAGGTAAAAGGCCAAGCACAGAGAGGCTCTCGATGTACTATCTTCTTTTTGTATTTGCAGGCGCTGTGTGCAGCTGTGGTGACGCCTGACGTGCTGCAGACCATGGCGCTGGTGTTCAGCGGCGCAGATGTTATGTGTGCCACTGGGGATCCAACCTACTCCACCCCGTATCTCTTGGCTCAACGTGCCGGACAGAAGCTACAGATGGAGTTCCTGCACCAGAACAAGCTATCTGGTGAGCAAGATTGCGTGACCCCCTTAGTTACTGCGTATCTTTGATTTGCTCTTTCAATACCAATATTTTATATTGCAAGAGCAAAAATAGCATGAAATGGTTTCAATAGTTGATTTATACTGAAGCATTAGTGTGTTAGCCGCATGTTACTGTTGGAGCTGCTGGGGATGGAGGTATAGATTGTCCATAAAGATGGTCTAGGAGAGGAGTGGGCAATCCTGGTCCTCGAGGGCCACAATCCTGCATGTTTTAGATGTTTCCTTCTTCCAACACACCTGATTCAAATGATCAGCTCGTCATCAAGCTCTGCAGAAGCCTGATAACGATCCTGATCAGGACTGTGGCCCTCCAGGACCAGGATTGCCCACCCCTGGTCTAGGAAGTCACCCATCCTCAAGAGTGGTTTTGAAGCTCAGTGCGGTGGCTCCATTTATGCAGCAACTCCTAGCTCACTGCTAATCCGGAAAGCGGTGAAGCATGAGTCGAACCGAGGTGGGTGATGGAAATATCTCTGGGCCATAAAATGTCCTGCGATCGGTGCCCATCTGTCTTTCAAAGCAGCCTTTAATTATGCATAACCTTAAGCCTTAATACAGTTATATAAAAATTCACCCCCCGTGCTGTTTTCATGTGCTGGGAATTTAGTTAAAGAGACTAAAACCTTTATTTTTTGTGCCAGGCTTTTGTTTATTTCTGCTGTAAAGTTGGGCGTTTTACTATGGAGGTCAATGAGGTTGCTTTTGGAGCCAGCCTCAAGTGGCCATTGGAGGAACTGCAGCACGATGGCTGTTTTTCCACCCTTGAATCATTATTATTCAGTTTCATGTGCAGAGTCATCATTTTTGATCAATGGGAGAGGAATAAAAGAAGTTTTAATTCCAGTTTTTGGACTTTTTCCCTCATATTTATTTTAACGACATTGTTTGATTCAAACATTTAGTGCAATAAAAATTAAAAAAAAAGTGAGAAGTTTATAGGGGGAAAGCGTACTCGCTAAATGAACCCACAAAATAATGCGGTTATCACTTCTTTGATCCTTGGCTGTGGGAGAAATTTACCACTGCAGGTAATAAACAAGGTTAGCAAGGTGTTGCTCATGTTACTGGCAAACATGACGGACAAACTTCTTCTCTTGTGTTTTCGTTCTTTAATTATGTCATTAAAAGCCTCCACCCTGTGTGAATGTATACTGCACATAATCTTCCGTTCGGTAACGATGGGAATAAGAGCCTAGAGTGCAGGAAACTTTTCCGTGGTCAGTATTCAACCTAGGTGAGGTGCCTGAGCCACAAAAAGCAGCTATAAAACAGAATAACTGATTCTGGCCAGAGCTAAAAAAAGAAAAGAAAAAAAAAAAAAAAACCCTGACATGCTCTCATAAATCTGTGGAAAGGCCTTTAAACTAGGTGTGCAAGTTGGACTTTTACAACCATCGGCGCCACATATATTCTGCCCATTGTCTTTATACTTTAACAAGCCAATCATGTTTAAAACTCATACTCACCGCTGTGCTGCCACATTCATAAAAGCACAGTGGGAGTTTTTTTTCCGCTTTGCCATGAATAGGAAATGAAGGCAGAAAAACCCACAAATTTGAAGCCGGCGAGTTTTAAGTTAAAAGTTCTGTCTCTCTCTCTCTCTCTCTCTTTCTATTTTTTTCTTCTTTTCTTTTTCTACATCTCTGTCTCTCTCCGACTTTCCCCCAACTCGCCTTTGTATTACCCACCTCGTATCCTCGGCATCGGAGGCACGGCACAGATGTGCTGTGTCGTGTAGCTTCCTCGTGATGGGTGTGTTTTGTTTGTGTGCTTCCACACAGGGCTGATGATAAGAATGTATTAGATTAAAGGAGCGAGAGAGGCCGTCGGCTGGGGCCGGGGGGAGACTTTCTCTGGGACTGTATTTTACATAATATATGCGCCGCATCTGTGTACGCTCGCCGGCACCGAGCCTGTTAGGGACTCGCTAATTGCTAGTATGGGTCACCTGGTCACCATGGTGATGGCCATTACTCGGAGGTGTGCTGGAAGACACGCATGCAGACAAACACACACACACACATTCCCGCGTGTGGTATTGTCCATCTGAAATATGTAGCTTACAGGCAGTGTCTATATGTTCATTATGTGTCTGGAGGTTGTAGAGCTTCATCATTAACAAACAAACAAATGTAGACCTAAGCAGACTTTTTCTGGAGAGACGGATGTGCAGCTAAACTGGCCAACTATTGCAGACAAGCAGGACCCGGGTCAGCGAGGTTACTGAGGACCCAAATGTTACTCTGACAGACTGACACTGCTCCTTGGCTGCAATGGAGATCTTGCCTCAGGGACAATAGTCAGTGCAGCACTTTGCAAGCTGGGACTAAATGACCAAGTGGCCACAAGGAAGCAACTCCTAAAAGTGATGTTAACCCTCAGCCGGATGCCACCTTAAGGACAGTGTCTTGTTTTTGCCAAAGTGTACGACTGGCCCAATGGATGATGCTTTATCGTCTGGATTTCACACATATCCACACCAACAGTGGGGCATACACTGCCACACACACACACACATTATATTTCCATTTCAGTAATTAGACACCAACATAGAATAGAATAGAATAGAATAGAATAGAACTTTATTGATCCCAATATACATTTGCAGTAAAAATGAAAATAAAAAAAAGCAAAAAAACAGAACTCTATTTGCACTTTGCTTGTGTTTATTTAAAGAGAACTTTTCGACAATTATCCTTTAGTGTTGACAGGCCATGACTGGTGATGAGTAGCCAATCGGATGGATGGATGGATGGATGGATGGATGGATGGATGGATGGATGGATGGATGGATGGATGGATGGATGGATGGATGGATGGATGGGTGTTGACAGGCCATGACTGGTGACGAGTAGCCAATCAGATGGATGGATGGATGGATGGGTGGATGGGTGGGTTAGTACAGCTTGATTGAGGTGGTTCCATCAGAACCAAAATAGCATATTTTGTATTAAATATCAGGACTTGTTTAGAAATCAACAACACTGATAGTCAGAAAAATGCTAAATATTGGATTTAGCTGCTGGAAACAGCTGCTCTGTTGGACCAGATGTCCACAAATACTGGTGCATGATCTTTATCAATCTAGCAAATCTGTATTTACTGCTGCCTCTAAAATGTATTTATATTTAGAGCAAAGCATGGCAGATACACTTAATTGCTTTAGTTTGCAGATTGTTGTATGTGATCAGTCCTTCCTTGACCATTAGCAGCTATAGTTGCTCTCTGCTCCTGGCCTGTGTTAACATTTTAAAATCCTGGTTTAGCATTATCAAGGGCTTCAGGCTACCAGATACCAGATACTTCTTTACCATTTGTATGTTGCAGAGTTCACCAGGAAAGTTCCCTCCTTTTTTTTGCGACCCTTATGGGCAGTTGTCCCACAGACCTGTAACTCCCATTTCATCAAACAGTAAAAGCTAACAAGGTACTACAGCAGATCTACGATACATTTTCCCCATGAGGCTTGGATTAGCCCAAGAGGTGACCAACCATCCTCTAACGTTATAGATTATGTAGCACATCACACGCTAAGGTGGTAGCTCGAAGACCAAACATATTTATATGTGTGAAACTGGCAATATGAGCCTTTTCTTAATATCCTGAAACACCGGCCCAGTAACCTCCTGAAATTACATTCATATGTGACAGTTCTACATCCCCATGATTTATGTTCAATAAAAGCATTCAGTCCCAATACAGGAAGCATTGTACTGTATTTAGTATGACAGGAAGTAAGGGTGTGGGAGCTGGTTTTTTTTTTATGTACGACCAACATCAACCAAAAGTTTAAGATGCCCAATTTAGCCAGAAGCTGCTAATGTATGGATGAGGTTTATTATTTTGATAATACATCATCAACAACAACAGTATTCGGCCTAAAGTCCCCAATAAATGCAATTTATTCCGGTTTGAGTGCCAAAAACACTCCTAAGTTTGTGACGCGTTTTAAACCTCTGCAGTAGTAATCGATGGGTTTACCTTGTCTTTTAACATCCAAACTGTTTACTCGTCCCCAACATGATTAAATAGCTTTTAGTGTAACAGTAAAGGCACGATTCAGTGTGTGTTTTATCAGCTCTGCTATACAGATACGCTCCAGAATTAAAAAATAAGAGGCTAGAGGCAGACTGTGCTGCTGTTTCTGTGTTATACAATCATTCTATATTGCAGAAAGAACTAGTGGTGTGCTGAAAAAGATTAAAGCTTCCCACAAAGTCTCGTCCAGATTCCGTCTTCTGACATTTCGCGACCGTCGGACACATTGTCACGACACACAAAAGCTGTGGAAAGCGGTGTCGGCATTGTTTTTTTGTGCATGCGGCCCCCTGAGTTCACAGACAGACTTGTGAAATTTTTTGATTAAACAAAAAAAAAAAATTGAACTTTTTTTTTTTTTGCAGTTGTTGTGTTATGTCTGGCAGAATCCGGGAACAATTCAATACCCGCTCGGCACCCATCCCCTCTGGTGTTGACAGAGCGAAGATAGAGGGAAGAATAAAAGGAGACGCATAGCGGCCAGCGTTGAGGACAAAACTACTGAGTTGTCTGAGAGTTCTAAAGACCTCGGCCTCGGGTTGAATTTTCCAACGTGCGAGGTAACGTAAGGTGAGGTGTAAGTTATTCGCAGGCCGCTCCGTCTTGCTGCGTGCACAGTTTCTCTCCTTTCATTTAGCTTGTAAAACATGCATCCACATCAAGGGTGCACTTCAGGCCCTCATTCCACCAGCAGAAAGTGATGTAAGCCAGACACTGCATTGAATGAAATGATGACAGACATGATCCCTTTTTTAAAAAAATTCACTACCCCTCGGTTGGGAGAACAGAGCGAGCCACCGATAAACAATTAGAAACCCTGCAGAATTCTCAAAAATCTAAATTAGTGTGCAGAGAAGAAAAACAAGTCTTTGCAGGCCGACTCCCGAAAATAAAAATAGGAAAGCCCTCCATTTCCCTTGGACA